GTAAAAAAAGATGAAATAGACTGAGTAGCTGGGCAAATTAAGTGTTCATCCCTCAGCGATGCCACTGCTTGCCCTGCCAGGTGGGGTGGACTCTTGCATGACACTTGGGTGGACAATTTGACCTTCTCACTGTTGTTTAGGATCCAGCTGTGCAGGTAGCAGAGGTTGCAGTCGCATCTCCATGGGTTCCCACTTAGGTACACTGAGCTGAGCTTCTTCAAGGGGTCCAGAAGCCCTGGAGGAACACTCTCCAGCTGATTCTTCCGAAGGTTGAGGGTTTTCAGATTTGGGAGAGAAGCAAAGACCTCATCATCCAGAGCAGAGAGATGATTTGTGTCTAGCTGGAGGTCTGAGAGCTTGCTGAGCCCAGTGAAAGCTCCTCCTGGCAGGGTTGCTAGCTGGTTGTGGGACAAGATGAGTTTGCCAAGAGATGTGAGGTTGACGAAGATGCTGTCTGTAAGCGTGGCCAAACTGTTCCTGCCCAGGTCCAGCTCCCTCAGGTTTGCTATGGCGTCAAAAAGGCAGCAGGGGAGCTCTGTAATGCAGTTTGAACCCAGGGTGAGAAGCTTCAATTTGTTTAAGCCAAAGAAGCCCTGAGGTGGGAGAACCTGGATGAGGTTGTTGTCCAAGAGGAGTTTCTCCAGGTGAGGCAGACTCCTCAGAAGCATGGGTGGCAGCACCCTGAGCCTGTTGCTCTGCAGGTTGAGCTCCAGCAGCCCTGTCTGTCTGTCCAGCAGCCCCTCCGGGAGGTCCTGCAACTCATTCTCATAGAGCCGGAGGACTTGCAGCTGTGCAAGTTTGCTGAAGGCATCCCCATGAAGAGTCGTGATCCTGTTTCTGGCCAGGTCCAAAAACGTTAGATTGACAAGAGAATCAAAAATGCCTTCTGGAAGAGAAGGGATGGCATTGATGTGCAGGGAGAGCTCCCCCAAACTTCCCAGCCCATCGAACAGTCCTTTGGGGATGTATCTGAGGTGGCTGTCTCTCAGCTCCAGCCTCTGCAAGCTTGGGAGGTTTTGGAAAGTTCCCACAGCTAGTTCTTCTAACAAGGCACCAGAGATGTCCAAGTCCCTCAGGTTGTCCAAATTATCAAAGGCTCCAGGTTCAATTGTCTTGATCTTGTTGCCAATAAACAAAATCTTGACCAGGTTGGGCATGTACCTGAAGGCACCTTTCCTTATAGCAGTGATGCTGGTTTGCACAAAGATCATCTCAGAAATGAAGGGCTTTGCAATCTTTGGGATCTCTTTGACATCATTTTTTGTCCCTCTGTAGATCTCCTGGTAGTCTTTGGGCATCTCATATGGACCTTCATCCAGGGTTTGATCTTGGCATTTATGGAGATGGAAGGAAAGAAAGAAAAGGAAAAGGAAATGCTGGTACATTGTCCTGAAAAAGAGGTTGTAAAAACCAGTTACGAAGAAGAAAAATAAAAATCTCTTTCCACAGCTCATGAACTGTGGCACTGCACAGCTGCTCGGCTCCCGGGACTCTTCACACATCATAACTTGTGAGAAGAAGAGACACCACACAAGCCAATATGCACTGAATTACAAAAGTCTGCTGCTGTTGGTATCCAGGGACAGAGATGAAGGGAGAGCGAGCCAGCTCATGGCTTGGCACTGGGAGATGCTCCAGGAGGAGCAAGGGCTGGACTGTCTGTTCCCTGTCCTTCCTTCTCCCACGCCTGGCCTGCAGCTCAGCACCTGTTTGGGTGAAGAAGGCACAGTGCTGCTGCCCATTAGCACTGCCCCAGTGGGTCTGGTTACTCAGCAGGGCAACAGCCCATTCATGCAACAACAGAATCAGACAGCCCTGTGCTTGTTAATGAGGGATCAGCAAGGGTCCTGGGAGCCAGTCAACACCAGATGACCTTGTTTACTTGGAATTCCCACACTGTGCTGGATGCACTTGCTATTTCATTGGTGCTTTTCTCAGTCCAGGGGTCATTTAAAAGACAACTTCTAAGCATCTCCTTTTCAGGATTCTTGCTAATTGCATTATATTTTGGCCTTGGTTATGCAGCTCTGTCAGATAAAAATGGTTAACTTGTGAGCAGCAACCAAGTTTTAGAGCAAGGCTCATTAAAACATTAATGAGAGTCCACAAATGTAGTCTTTAATACCTAAGATTTAGGGCTCTGACCTGCAGTTAGGAAGTGAAGTCACAGATGCACACCCACCAGTCATGTAAAGCCCATCACTTCTATCCAGTCATTTGGAAACACTCAGCTGACACATTAGCTGGAGTTTAACTGCCATGAACATCATACTGGGACTGTAGTTTCCAGCTTCACAGCCCTGGGTGGGAGCAAGGGAAGTGCTGTGGGTTGCTTCTTGGGTGTCCATCAAAGCTGACCATGCAAAAAAAACTTGTGCTGGGAGGGTAGATTTGCTATGGAAAGCTTTTTTCTTTTTCCTAAAAATGCTGAAAGCTCAGCAAATACAGGAGGCCGAAAGCCACTGGGTTCAGAAAGAAAACAATGGGAGGTGATGTACGTGCCACCTGCCCCATGGGGTTCCTCAGGGCAGAAGATGCTGCTGATCCCTGCCCATCCCCTTGCCATGGAAACTCGGGTGCAGGAGCTGGGTCTGCGGGTGCTTAAGTGCCTGCTTCACTTCAGCTGCAGGAGCAGTGCCATAGGCTAAGTGCACAGGTGGGGGTGGCTGGGCTGAGTGCTTGGGTATGAAAATAAGCAATTTGGAACTGCAAAGCTCTTAAAGCCCTCCCTCACCCCCTCTGGCTGCAGTGGACCTCAGTGTGGTCCTGTACTTGTGCCACCCTCCAACAGCACAGGGACACCAAGGGACAGCCCCAGCTCACAGTGCTCAAGCCTCTCCGGCTCCATGCTGCAAGGAAGCCATCAACAGCCCCCCAGAGCAGCCCCTTACAGCACAATTTAAACAGCAAAACACAGTGGTTTGCATCACTTACTTGGCTGAGCACTTGCAAATGAGTCCAGCTGCCAGAGCGACGAGTGAGGCCAGCAGACAGGGGTCCATCACCTGGCTAGCTCTTTATCCACAGCCCAGGCACAGGGCTTGGTTTCATGTGAGGCACAGGGCTCAGGTCTGGGTGGGGAGATAACGGATGGCTGTGGAGAGGCAGTGAAGCTGTGCCCCCTGTGCGGGAGGTTGTTGCTGAAACCCCTCAGATGGGATGCAGGCACGTACTCACTAGGCGTTATCTGCTGACGCCACTTGACTCGTCACGTCCAGGGAAACCTGAAGATCTCCAGGCTAGTCTGTTTTGTAGCTGATGGCCTCTGCAGCCCAGTATATCCACCAGGATAACCCACCAGCTTCACCAGAACCACCCCCACTAACACAACAGAAAGGAGATTTCCTATTTGAAGCTCTTCTTATTAAAAATATTCTGCTGTTTCCTCCCTCAGGAATTAGTTTACATAGCTAAAGGTGCTGCTCTGAAGCCATTTATTTAAGCTTGGAGCAGGGATGACTTGTGTGGCAGGACAGGTACACTGACACCCAGATTCTTGGCTCAGCACTACACCTTCACACCTCGCTGGCCTCAGGTCTGGAGCTGTGTTGTGCTCTTCTCCACCCTAGCACAAGCCAAAGACACCCAAGCCACAGTGACACCCAAGGCTCCTGGCTGGTGCAGGGCATCTTGTGGAAAGAAGCCCTGTTTGTTGCAAAGACTTAAAATTACATTGCTTCTCAGTGGATAATTGCACTAATTGCATTCAAACATTTCTTCATCGGTTTCCACCTGCTCTTATTAAGGCTCATCTGGTGCTTGCTGGGTTTCATTATACCTTTCCTGGCAGATTCAAAACCACACAAACTCCTTCATATTTTCAGCAGCCTTACCCCTTTCCAGCATCAAAGCCATGCGTGTCCAGGTCCCCACTCACTTGATGGCAGGTTACTCCAGAAGCTGCAGGGCGGTGGGAACCAAGGGTGAATGAGAAAGCTCATAGTGGGAGTGACATCAGCCTCCCAATGCCTCAGCGTGGCAGCTATGCCAGAATCTGGAAAGCTGTAGCCAGCCACAACACCCCTGGTCCAGCCTGAGGTGGCCATGCAGTATCAGCTGGGAGATGGAGCGGAACAGTGGCAGTCCCCTGTGCAGACAGGCAGCAGGGTTGCCGTGCAGGACCGTGTCTGGGGGTGCAGCATTACCCACCTTCCTACCAGGAGCAAGGGGCCAGAAGTTCAGAGCACGGCCAGGATGGCAGCCAGCTGCCGGAGCAGGTCGGGCTGACACGACACGGACTCTCCTGGGAAAGGGCTGGCAGGGACGCATAGCTCCAAGCAAGGACCCCGGCTGCCCTGTCGGGGCAGGGCAGGCAGTGCTGGCTCTAAGGAGAGTGCGTGGCCGGGGCTGGCCGGGCTCTCCCGGCGCTCCGTGGTCCCGGAGCGAACACTGGCCCAGCGGCCGCAAGATGGTGCAGCAGCCTCGGGCGTGCGCCTCGCACACACGCACAAGTCAATGCACGCACAACACGCTCCTGCTCTTAGGGGAGGACCCCCCTTACCTGCCCCCCCTGCGTGGGCAGCGCCGCGGGGACTCTGCCACATCTCCATGGTCCCCGAGCCTCCCCGGTGCAGCCTCCGGGGCTGCGGGCCCAGCCCTGTCGGGGGGAGATGCGGGACCTGCCTGTGCACAGCCCTGGGCTGAGCCCCCCTGCAGCCAGGCAGCCCATGCCCCTCGCTGGGCAGCACTTGTCATGTCTCCCTTGGACACCCCAAACCCATGCATGCCAGGGGGTTAGTGCCAGGCTGCAGATGGGTCTTTGTGCTGCTGAGAGAAAGGGGGGCAGGAGATGGACCTGGAGAGCTGCAGTAGGCAGGGATGAGCATGCCAGAAAGTGGCACCTGCACCCTGCCAGGCACCTCCACCCCTGCCACACCATGCACAACCCCAGGCAAGTCCCCATTGCACCATGGCAACCTTCACCATTTCCCTCAGATATGTAGACAGAAGCAGAAGAGCAGTGTTTCCTCTCTCTGCCATAGTAACTGGTTACACAGAAATAATACATATATTTTAATTACATTTGAAATATACAGGAAGCACACAGCTGGAAGAATAAATACCACCAGCTCAGCTTTTGTGGAGAGCTCGGTGACAGCTGGTGACCATGGTAGGGGTAGCAGATCAAGACGGGGTGCTGTTTCCCAGGCTGGTTCAGAGGCTGCCAGTGCAAGAGTGGAGCAGAATCAGGCTCCTGCCCGAGCTCTAGGGCACAGTGGGAAGACCTGGAGATGTGGCCTCATCCCTGCTCTGTGCGGTGACCAGCACATTGACCTGCAGTGTGCCACAGCGGGAGTGCAGCACCCAGGCACCCTGGTACACCGGCCCCAGCCCCGCTGCCTGCCTGGGAGGAGGAGAGGGAGGAGGAAGGTGAAGGCTGAGCTGCTGGCAGCTCGTGGCATCACAGGCCATGCTTACGGTGCCCTCGGGGTTCCTGTAGGTGCACTGCCCTGGACCATGCTCCCCGTTCCAGCCCTCCTCCGGGGTGGCACCCGATGCTCCCGGGCACTGCAGCTGCCTGTGGGGGACCTCCAGCAGGGACCGTCCCTGGAGAGCAGCTGGGCTGGCACAGGAGGCTTGCGCATGGGTGAGGGGCTCGGCAAAGCCCTGGAGCCAGCTCAGGAGATAGGCAAGGTGGCAGTCACAGACCCAGGGATTGCTGCCCAGCCCCACTCGCACCAGCTCCTCATTGGCATCAAAGAGCCCCGGAGGCAGGCGGGCCAGGCGGTTGTGGTCCAACGCCAGGGCAGTGAGGAGGGGCAGCCCTCTCAGCAGCCCAGCCGGCAGGCTGGAGAGGTTGTTGTGGCTCAGATGCAGCGTTGCCAGCTCCGCCAGACCCTGGAAAACCCCAGCGGGAAGGTGGTCTATGGAGTTATATGACAACACCAGGGTCTGAAGCACAGACAGGTTGGCAAAGAGTCCCTGGGGCAGCATCTCCAGCCCATTGCGAGCCAGGGAAAGGTGGAGGAGGCGAGGGGTGCCGGTGAAGAGGGTGGCAGGCAGGGTGGCCAGGCGGTTGCCCTCCAAGCTGAGGACGGTGAGGTTCGGGAGACCAGTGAAGATGTCAGGGGACAGGCTGCCCAGAGCGTTGTGTTGCAGCTGCAGCCGCCGCAGCGCCCCCAGCCCCGCAAAGGCGTTGGCCGGCAGCTCCTCCAGCCGGTTCCCATCCAGGTGGAGCTCGGCCAGCAGGCCCAGCGCCCCAAAAGCTCCGTGGGGCAGCCGCGCCAGCAGATTGTCACTGAGCTTGAGGAGGCGGAGGGCGGTGAGGGGCGCCAGCAGCTCTGCTGGCAGCTCAGTCAGGACGTTCTGCGAGAGGTCCAGGGTCTGGAGGTGCCGGAGCGGGCGGAAGATGCCGGGGGGCAGTGCCTCGATCCTGTTCCCCGGCAAGCGCAGGTCCTGCAGGCAGCAGGCAGAGGCGAAGAGCCCTGGCTGCAGGGAGCGGAGGGCATTGGCACCCAGGGAGAGCTTGCTGAGGCTGGGCAGACCCGCCAGCAACCTGGGGCTGACTGCCGGCAAGGGGTTACCTGACACCTCCAGCTCGGTGAGGCCGGGCAGCCCCTGAAAGGCACCGTCCTCCAGGTCCTGGATGTTGTTGTTGAGGAAGACCAACTTGGTGAGGGTGGTGCTGAAGCCCAGAGCCCCACTGCGGACACTTCTCAGGGCAGTCTCCACAAAGAAGAGCTGGGTGGCGTTCCCTGGCAGGCCCACTGGGATCTCCCGCATCCTCTCCTCCGAGCAGAAGACTTTGGAGGTGTCATAGCACTGGCAGCTGGAGGGGCAGGGTAGGGGCAGCCCCCTCACCAGCAGGAACCCCAGTCCCAGCAGCATGTAGACCACCAGCCTGCACTGGAGAAGGAGCCGAGCCTCATCCCCTGCCTGAGTGAGGCAGAAATCTGTACCATCAGGCATGCACTGCTGAGGAAATGGCTTCCGCGGCCAAAAATGCAGCAGGAGCAATCTGTGGGGCACTGCTGGCATGGGCAGCTGCAAGGCCATGGAGGCAGCCCTCCAGCCCCAGCTGCCTGCAGCACTCAGTGCTCCCCGTGCGGGAATGGAGAGTGCTCCCCTCGCAAATCTCCCCCATGCGGTGCGTTGGGGCTCCTACCCTGAATCCCAGTCCCACTCTAGCCCACACTGTCACAACAAGGGTGGTGCCACCCTCACCAAAGGTCCCCCCATCCTTTGGGAGGAAGCATGTGAAGCACAGGGTTTGCTGCACACACTGGGTGGTGGGGATAACGCTGCAGGGCTGCCCTGCACTCAGTGACAAAAGGAGCAGGCTCCACCAGCTCTGTTTCTAACTGCCCATCAAGTACTTCATCCAACCTGCCTGAGGGACATTGAGTTTGATCAAATGCCTGTTCCCAGTCCATGGGATTCGCTTTTTGAGGCAGTGGCCTCCAGACCTCTGCCAGTCCATCCCTACTTTGGATACATTGCCATTGCTGCTGCATGACAGGGGATGCTGCCCAGCCCCAGCAATGCCCACATGCAGACAACACTCACAAGTGGGGCTATCCTGGGCTTAGTTGGTGCTCGACAGCAGTGTTGGGCTTGGCTTTTCCTTTCTACTTTCCACCATCCCACTTGTTTTCAGCACAGCCAACAGTAATTTCCACCTATCCCAGGCCCCCCAAGCTACCCGAGTGGCATGGCCACCACTTACCGAGTGTAACATCGTGGAGACTACCACGCAGCCCACAGCAGGTTTGCAGGGAGGCTGCTCACCAAGATGAAACAGTGTTTTCTGGGGCAGATGGGAAACCTGCAGGGAGCTGTGCCGGCTGAGGCGGAGCTGCCCCTCGCTGCTTATCGGCAACAACAACCGGCGTCCTTGGAGCGCTTCAAAAATAACCCAGCCACAGAGGGACAGGAGGTGAGGCCAGAGTCAGCTGCTGGTGAGCATCCTGGCAGGGAAGTGGGGTCCCGGCCCCAGACATCCACTGGCCTGGGGACGGTGGCAGGGTGCTGCTGTCACAGTTGGCACTAGTCCCACACCAAGGTCAGCATGCTTGATTCCCCCTGAGATTTCCCCTAGACTTTATGAAATCTCACTGGGAAATAGTGCTAGCACCCATCTCTTGCATGAGAGAGGGGACCAGGCACAGCTTAGCAAGGCAAGGCAATGCCATGGGGAGGGGACCACCCTGGACCATCACTTTGAGATGCATCATGTGTTTCGCATCCCATGAAGTGCACCCAGCTGGCCATGGGATGGCCAGAGGGGCCTGTGGACCAGCTGGACTCCCTGGGAACTTGCAATCCGCTTAGGAGAGCGGCATACACCACCGTGAGGGCTGCCTTGCAGGGGCCTGTGTTGGAACAGGCTGGGGAGGCAGCTGCCATGGGGGCACACTGAGTGGCAGGAGGAGGGACGCTTCAGCCAGGCTGATGGAGCACACAGTGAGCACAGAGGAACTCAGCTGATACAAGCCCACAGCAACCAGCTCTGAAGGGAGCCATGCGAGCTCCCGCCCCTGGGGTGGCACTGAGTAAAGTGTGCAGTAGGCAGTCAGTGTCTCCATCAAGAAGCTTGCTGAGATCTCAGCTCACTCTTCAAAAGCTATTCCCCTGCTGTTGGATTGCTGAGCCCTCCTTGTCCTGCAACACAGGTTGGAGTCCAGGGACCAGCACAAGCTGTGCAACCACAGCCCACTAACCCTTTCCTAGCCCCACCAGGCTGTATGGACTTTTCCTCAGTATGAAAGAAAAATCTCTTAGGAGTGAAGATCAGGCACACCTCCTGTTCCTGCTGGGTCATCGGGTCATTCCCCAGCCACGCACAGTGGAGGAGCAAATAAACCGTTCTCGGCACTGGGGATGGACAACTGTACTTTAATGGAGAGGTCACAGAGAAGCACCCAACAGCCCCGCAGCAGTCCTGTGTCTCCCACTGCCATGCAGGTCCCAGCCCAGAGGAGCATCCTAGATGTACACAAGTGTGGTGCTTCTTGCGCTTGACTTGGCTCCTGGGGCACTCATCCCATGGCAGCAACCCCCAGGCAGCCCAACACCACCAAACCATGTGCAGAGGTGAGCTGGAGCCCTCCGTGACCATGCTACATCTGGAGCCGGCAGGGTGGGCGCTGGGTGCAGCTGCTGCAGGGGCATGGTGTGGCAGCCACCTGTGAACTGCAGAGCAGCAGAGCTTGCTGACTCCCCGCTGTGCACTGCCAGCATCCCCACTGCCCGAGGGATGTGCACGCAGCAGGGCTGGGCACATGGGGGGGGATACTCGCGGGAGGAAGAGGAAGGAGCATTGGCAGGCAGAGCAGGGCCAGGCTGTTCACTAGCTGGTGGAGGATGCACAGGGTATTGAGGCAGCGAGGACTAGGGATGGGGTGCAGCAGGAGCAGCCCCGGCACGCTCCCACTGCCTTCGGGCATAAGGATGCAGCCCCTGCAGATACTTCACCCCCATTCTCCCACCCGGTAATTCCCCCGCACGCAGCAGAGGCCGGTGTCCCGGACGCCGCGGGGCACAGGAGAGGCAGCAGGAGGGGGCAGGAGGCTGTGCGGGCCAGGGAAGGTGCTGGCTGCCTGCGGGCAGGGCGGCAGCGTGGAGCGGTGCGGGTGTGCCAGCCCGGCAGCAGCGCCCAGCCCGTCGGCGAGGGCACGGCAGCACCGGGTGTGCGGCTCCTGCCCGGGCGGGGGCAGAGGCTGGGGCATGGCGGGAGCAGCGGGCAGCAGGCGGTGAAACGACAGGTAGCACCAGAGGGGACAAAGCAACGTGAGGGACAAGGGAGTCCTGTTTGAGTTAAGCACCATCATGAATGACCAGGCTGTGGCTCTCTGCTTGAGGGGTCCCCTCTCGGCATCGCAGCTGCTGGCCCCCGGGCAGGGGATGAGCACAGAGGCGGGAGGGGCTGGGAACGGGGCAGCCATGGGCGGTCACCCAGGTGGACACCCTACTGCAGAACAAGGGCAGGGCAAAGCAGAGCAGGACAGGGGACATGCAGCACGCACAGTGATTGTGGCCCATCCCAATCAGCAAGGGCAGCTGATGCAGAGCCACTGTCATGTCCCTTGGCCCATTGGGGAGGGAATGCCCCACCAGTACCATTACCCCAGGGTCTGTTGGGTGCTCATGCTTCATTGGGCGCCTTCATTCTCATAAGCACAACTTGGCTCTTCTTCCTGCAGCCGTAGACCACCAGCGCCACCAGAGCGGCAAGCAGGGCCGCACACACCAGCACAATGACCGCCACCACCACCCCACTCTGTGTGCTTGTCAGCCCCCACTGCCCCCTCTCCTCTTCCTCCTCCTTCTCCTCATCCGCCTGTGGGGAGACTGGCAGCCCCATGGGGGGCTCCGTCCAGGCACCCTCGGGTAATGCCACCTCAGAGGGGCCAGCAGGGAGCGGGGTGCTGGGACGGGGGGAGGCAGTGGAGGGCACGGGGACGAGGAGCTGGTCCTGCGGCAGCCCAGCGATGGGGGTGCCCCACAGGGAAGGGGGCTGGGCACAGAGGGGGGGTGTCTCGCCCACCTTGTGGAGGTTGTCCTCCAGCCAGCCCCGCAGGGGCAGGATGCCCTCGTCACAGCGCCAGGAGTTGTTGTGCAGCTTCACCTCTTGCAAGGCAGCCAGAGGGGAGAAGATGCCGGCGGGCAGGTACTCCAGGGCGTTGGAGTGCAGCTGCAGGTGCCGCAGCCCTGGGGTAGTGCTGAAGAGGCCCCGCGGCAGCATCTGCAGCTGGTTGTGGTGCAGGGAGATGTTCTGCAGCTTGGGCATCCCTTCCAGTGTCTGGGCATCCAGGCGGCGCAGGGCGTTGGAGTGCAGAGACAGCTCCAGCAGCTCTCCCAAACCCTGGAAAGCACCCCGTGCCACGGAGCGCAGCCGGTTCTTGCTGAGTACCAGGAGCTGCAGCTGGGTGAGGTTTCCAAAGACAGCGGTAGGGAGGGTAGAAAGCTCATTATCGTAGAGCCACAGCTCCCGCAGGTTGGGCATGGGCCCGAAGGCACCGGGGGAGATGTCCCGCAGGCGGTTGACGTGCAGGGTGATCTTAGCAAGGGCACGCAAGGGCAAGAAGACACCGCTCGGTAGGGTGACAAGGAGGTTATTGGACAGGTAGAGCTTCTGCAGGTTTCCATTGTGCACAAAGAGCTCCGGGGACAGCGTCTCCAGCTGATTCTGGTGCAGTCCTAGTTCCTGCAGCTCGGGCAGCCCATCAAAGGTGCCCACTGGGATCTGCCGGAGCCGATTCTCATAGAGTCGCAGCACCTGCAGCCGCGCCAGCCGCTCAAAGGCCCGGCGTGGCAGGTGGTCGATGTCATTCCTGGCCAGGTTGAGCTTGGTAAGGCTGGTGAGATGGTCAAACACCCCCTCCTTCAGCTCCTGCAGGTTGTTCCCGTGCAGCTGCAGCTCCTTCAGGTTGCTCAGGTGGGAGAAGTGGGAAGGCTCCACCTGAAGGATCTGGTTGCTGGAGAGGAGTAGAGACTCCAGCTTGCCCAGGGGCTCGAAGACCTGCACGGGGAGCTCCTGCAGCTTGTTGCTGGACAGGCTGAGGTAGCGCAGGTCGGGCAGGTGCTGGAAGGCCCTGGGGCTGATGCGCGACAGGTTGTTCTTCTCGATGCGCAGCCCGATCAGTAGGGAGGCGTTGCCAAAGGATGCGTCTCCCAGCTCAGTGATGAGAGTGTTGATGATCTGCAGGGTCATGGCGTTCTCAGGAATGGGGCTGGGGACTGTAGTGATGCCAGCACCGGAGCACTCCACCTGGGCAGTGCGGACGCACTGGCATTGCTCTGGGCACTGGCCACTGGCCAGCTGGATGCCCACCAGCAGCAGCAGCCACCGCTGCCAAAATCCCTGCTCCATTAGGCCTGCAGGAAAAACAAAGCAGGGGGGCTCAGCAATTCCCCCGCTCCCTGGGCCTCCACCAGGGATGGGTGCTGCTTCCTGGGAAAGGCCACCAAGGCTGTGGCCATCCTGCCCCCAGCATGGCAGCAAGGCAGAAGAGGGTGGGCAAGAAAGGCTGGGGGCAGGCAGCCAGGCAGGAGAGCAGGGCAGGACAGAGCTGGGGGCTCTCGTGCCTGTCTGCCATACCACAGCTATTAGTGGCACCGCTGGCGTCTCGCTCAGCTCCTGCAGTGGCCAGGAGTGTGGTTTCCTGTTTTGTAGTGTGTGTGGTGAGTGGCTACCAGAGGTACTGGCCTGGCACCACCAAACAGCCCAGACCTTCACCAGAGCTGTCCCGCAGCACCCGCAGCAGGGTGGGTCCCAGGAATGCTGCTTAGGGCCAGGAAGAAAGGCCCTCCCCAGCACACTCAAGCACCCTCCTGGCTCTAAGCTCCTCTTGTGGAGCCAAAAGCAGCACCAGCACCCGCTGCCAGGGCATGCTTTAGCTCCAGTCCTGCAGGAGCCTGGGTCAGTGGGACCCTCTGCCAGCTGCCCAGCCCAGGGTGGGTACACGGCTGGCCCTGTCTGCACCTCATCCCCAGCAAAAGGTCTCAGCCCTGGCCAATTTTGGCTGTGAGAATGGGGTGTCTGGTGTGCAGGCTGGTCCCAGAGGTAGTGCCCAAAGAAACTCTAAAGCGTAGGGAGAGTGATGGCTCTGCAGTGAGGCCCTCCATCATCCTATGAAAAGCATGGCCACTATGGACACCCTCTCCTCCCTCCTCTGGCCTGGGAGCTTTCTCCCTCCCTAGATTAAAGCAGCAGTCTTGTGCCAGGCTGTCATGGAGCAGTCCCTGCTAGCAGCTTCAAGTGGCACAAGGGGTGGAGAAAACCTGTGTCCCGCCATCCCTGAGCACAGCTCAGCCAAACGGGCAAGTCCAGCAGTACAGGGGTCCAGGCACGGTGCCCCAGCTGGCACAGCACCCCGGGATGCTGGGCCACAGCCCCTGCCCTATGCTCTGGGCTCCTTCCAGGGAACACGCTTACTCTCCGGCAGGGAGGGAGGAACCCTTCACAAGCCAGCACAGTTTATGTTTCCATATGGAAACAATCTGCATCCAAGAACAGCTTTGTTTATAGCAAGCCACTTATAAACTTCCCCAAACACTCTGCACATCAAAGCCCAGTTCATGTCACTCCCTGGTAAGGCAGCTCGGAGAGCATCCACACTGAAGCGTCCTTCAGGAAAGACAGCTGAAAACAATTTGTCTTCTCTTTTCGTCTAGGGACAAAAAGCATCTTACAGACCAAGGGGCTGAATATCCCTTGCCACTCAGCCCCTCAGCATCCCACTGCTCCTAACTTCAGCCCCCCACAATCTTACTTTGCCCCCCTTAATTTTCTCTATTGGTTATCATTTAAGATACGTTGTCTATATAACTAATTCAGCTCCCACAGTGTCATCTCACTTTGTTGGAGAGCCCTTGCAAGACAAACATCTCCATCAAATCAAACGATGATGAACATGCAGATCCCACCACCCCTTGGACCTCTCCCAGGAGTCCTCCTGGCCCAGGCGCACTCACAGGATCAGTAGCAAAGAGGAGACTTACCCGAGTGTCCTGCAGCCGCGAGCGCCGAGTGAGCACAGCTCTGAGCTGACAAGAGAGCCAAGTGTGGTTCATGCTTCCCCTCCCAGTATATAACCCGTCCAAATCAATGAATCAGCACAGGGGCAGTGGCGGGGTTAGGGAAAGCGCTGGAGCAGAGCTGCTTCCAACTCCTGTTTCCTCAGCAAACATACCAAGAGTCTCGAGGATGGAGTTTTGGGTTTCCCTCTCCTGAAGCCCAGTGCTCTTGTTTGAAGACAAGCAGATGGCCTCATGAACATGGGGGGCTCATATCAGCCAGTGCGCAGATAGCAGCTCAGCCCTGGGAGCACCTCTTGGTCCCTGGTGGGAGGGAGTGGGTGCCCCCATCCATGACGGCAGGCAAGACAAAGCCAGGTCCCATGGCACAATCCTGCCCTTCCTAGCACACATTCACACTGCTCTGCCCCATGGCATCACCTCGGCACATGCGCAGTGCTTGCCTCCCTAGCTATGGCTCCTGCCAGTGTCAGGACCTCTGGCCATGCCCCAGCCCAGGGCCAGCAGTGCAGGCAGCTCCCCCCCCTCCGCACACTGACCATGCCTGGGGTTCACCATCCCAACCACAAACAGGCCAGGAACTCAAGCACCCACTCCAGGGCTCTGTCCCTCAGATACCTTGCCCAGCCCAGCCAGGGAGCGGTCACCAAACGGGTCAGTAGCACTGCTGGTGCCAGCCAGAGGCCAGGCTGCTCCAGAGAGCACCCACTGCCACCACTATACCTGTGGGCGCCAACAGACCCCCTCAGCATCAATGGCAGGCAGCCTTTCAACCCCAAAGTGGTACATGCTGCCATTTCCCAGGGGCTGCCATGGCTACAGCCCATGTGCTGCTCTTCATCCTCAGCAGCTCTGACACATGGGTGACACATCCCAAAACTCAGGGGTGTTCAGAAAGCAGGGTACAAGCCCATCACATCCACTTGTTCAAAGGTATCTGCTGCCACCCATGTACTGTCCCCTCCAGCCCACATGGGCGCACAGGGGTGCCTTGGGTCCCCACCACCTAGCCCACGTCACTACCCCATCACCCACTTTTCCCGGGCAGCCCTTGTCCAGCAGCTGCCAGGAACGGATATTGGGGCGGAAACAGCTATGGAAAGCCAGTGTGCGTGAATGCTTTGGGCTTCCCGGAGCCAGAGCAGCCCCGTGCTAACCACGGGGCAGCTGGAATGTCCCTGACCATGTCTAATCCCGTCTCAGCCCACCCATGTTTCCGCCGGCTGCAGCAGCCCCTGCTCACGTCCCAGCCAGCGCTAACGAGCTGCTTGTGATGGGAACAACACGGAGCTGCTGCAGAGGGGGCAGGACGCTGCCTCCATCCCCATGCAGCCCCATGTCCTGACATGCTGCAAGGGGTGGGAGGGCACAGGGCAGTGCAGGCGATGAGGCGTCCTGCTCAAGAAGGGGACCAGACCAGGATGAACAGCAGACAAGGGATGGAGAGGGGACTTTTCAGCCAGGCTCAGAGGAAGGCAACAGGGATCGTGGGAAGAGGGTAGGGAGTGGGACCTCCGCTGAAGTCAACCACTGCTGATGTGGTAGAGATTGCATAGGGAGCCTATCTGCCACTGGACATGCCAGATGGCTATGGACCCCTTCCTGAATGGGGAGTCAGCACCAAGGCTGGGGCTGCCCCCAGCCATGCTCCCTGCCTGCTCCGGGGGCAAAGCCCAGGCATTTGGGCACAGAGAAGGGGCATTTTGGAAACACCACCCGCAAGTGCTTCAGCTCACGCTCTATTGACACAGCAGATTTTCCCAGCAATGCGGTTCCCAAAATAACCTTCCCGCTTCCTTGACAGCAGTGCAGCTGGAGGTCAGGCAGCAGGCTTGGGAGCTGCCCGCTCCCTGCAGCCCTGGCACAAGAGCAGGGCTCTCATGGCCTTATCACATCCTTATCACCGCCTCTGTCTGCCCACTGCCAGCGCTGCCGGGTTCCTGCCGGCTCTGACTCATCCCAGAAGCACACAGCTTTTCAGAAAGGCAACACAGGAATTAAACCCCAGCACTTCCGAAAAACCACCCCCCCAAGCCCAGTCCGACAGAGGAACGCTGGACTCAGCTTCTTCCAAGTAGCATAGCCTGAGACGGACAGGGATGTGGTGGTGGGTACCCTCAAACACCCTGCCCCCAGGAAGGGGGGTGATCAGGCCATGGTTCTAGTGGCCACACAGAGTGCCCAAAGCTTCAAAGAAACCCTGCCAAAATCCCAGCCGCCTCTACCCAGGCCTTGAGAGCCTGGCTCCAGCTCCTGGCTGGGAAGGAGAAGTCTGATTTCAAGACATCCCTAAAAATAAATCAAGGCTGAGTAACAGCACAATCCCGGGCACCGCACCCACAGTGGGGAGGGAGCCGCGCCCAGAGGTGAGCACACAGGAGCTTGCCCCAGGCTATGCACAGGGGAGGGAAGCAGGAGGTGTGAGAGCCTGGGACAGCCGCACAGACACGCTCTGCACATCTGGAGGGAAGAGGCAGCTCTCCGAGACAGCATGTGGATGTGATTGAGGGTAACGTAAGTGTTCTGAGGGGGAGGCTGCTCCACATAGCTGGGAGCTCGCACGGTGCTGGATGGAGCAAAGCAAGCCTTGTGCTGCAGGAAGCCCCAGGGTCCAGCAGTGCTCTGGGAACTTTCCCCACCTCCAGCCACACCAGCCAGAGGAATGCTGAGCCCCTGAGACCCCCTGTCTGAGCTCGGGACAATGTGGAGTCACTGCCATGTCCCTGCATCCCTAAGGGGGTGTAGGACCCCAAGCGTGGGCATCTGCCAGACCCTGTGCCCCAGTGAGATTGGGCCAGCAGCAAAACCTGCGGTCAGGGCTGGGCTGGGGAGTGGCTCCTTCCCCCCGAGCCCCCAGCCCTCCTTGCCTGCACACACAGTGTTCTGATGCTGCTCCTCTGTCCATGGAAGAGCAGGAGAGCCCCCAGAACTTCCCGCAGGTATTTCTCTGCATGCAGCTGAGCCCACAGGAGCGCTGGAGATCCTGTGGCAAAGCGGTCCCAGCCAGAGTTACCCCTTGTGCTTTGACATAATCCTGCCTGAGGCTCCTGGAGGCTGTCAGGGATAGGAACTGGCAACGCCTGGCTACGCTCTCCAACTCACTTGTACTAACAGGACTGGGTTCTCAGCCCCTCCAGGGCTCCCGTCTGTCCTATGACCATTGCACAGGCCCTGGTGCTCCCCCATGCCGAGCTCAGCCCCAAAACGCCACCATGGGAAGGTTTCAGGAGCCCCCCGACAGCAGCATCCCTTATTGTCGAGGAGGTCCGCCTCACTGCCACACGGCAGGACAGCCCGGGGTCCGTCCGTGCTGGCGCAGCTCCGGCGCATCCCTCCAGCAAAGCCGGGCTGCTCTGAATCACCGGGGGCTCGCGGCTGCTTGGAAAAACTCATGTAATCGCTAAAATTAGCAGCCTGTGGGCTGGGCCGGGAGCCCGCAGGGCTCATCTGCTAAACAGCTGAGCACGCTCACCCAGGCCGCTGCTGCTCCCCCGCCCCTGCTCCCCTCTCCAGCTCCCGGCAGAACCGGCACCCCTGGGAGGGACGGGGTGTCCCGAGGCCCCGCAGCGCTGGACCCCCCATTGCTTTGCGCTGCTGCAAAGCGCCCGCCCTGCCATGAGGAACCCCCTCGGTGGCCCCTGGTGCTCACAGCGAGCGGCTGGCCCGGGGCACCCGGCCAGGCTCTGCTCTGCTGAAGGGAGGAGCAGGGTGTTGGCTGGGCCGGGGTCCAGGGAGGGGATCCCTGCAGTGCTCTGGTGTGGGCAGCACCTCCTGGCCGGGCCGTGCAGCAGGACACAAGCTCAGGCACAACCGAGGGGGGAAGGAAGGAGCATTAGTCAGACCCTCAGGGACCAGCTGGGTCCCACAGCACCCATAGAGAGGCAGCAGCAGCAGCCCCTTCCCCATCACACGCCCATCCTAATCCTTTGAGGAGCCCAGACCTGAGGGCTTCTCCACAGGGGCAGGGCCAAGCCTTTACAGCATTTTCAGCACCCTGTTTGAGGAACGCAGGGCCAGGGAGCCCTCACTGCTCACAGCTACACGATGCCCCATCTGCATCTGCCCCAAGGGATGGGGACATGTCCTGCCTTCCCTGGGCAAGTAAGTGCATGGGCAAGGTAAGAGCTTTTCGTAAGGAGGAGCAATCCTGGGCCCTCCAGGATGGGCAGGAAGGATAGCCTATATCCAAGCACCAGCACAAGACCCACCACAACTCTCCTGGAGCTCAAGGAAAATGATATTTAGGATCTCAAGCAGCAGCAGCAGAGCTTGCCTGGCTAGCAGAACCGTGTCCTCCAGCCTCATCCCTGGCCCGAGAGATAGCAGGAGCACGCCGGGCTTGGCGCAGGCTCGGGGCAGCGCTAGGCTGGAAGGAATGCAGGGCCCGTGGCCAAGTCCGCCTGGAGAGATAATCCGAAGCGGAAAGAGCTTGTCAGATGGGCGCTGTGAGGGGGAGGAAGGACCGGCTGGAGCTGGAGGTGATGGTGGGAGGCTGTCCCTGCTCATGCAGTGCTGTGTGTTTGCTGGATCAGCTTCACACAGTTCTCCACCTCTGTAAAGCCATCCCTGACAGCCAGGAGGGCCCCAGGGACCCCCTCCTAACACCCCAAAGGGGAAGGGGCCCCATGGCTCCCAAGTGCCCAGGAAAATCAGGCAGAGGACTGCACAGCAGCACAGGGAGCAGCTACCAGCCATCGGTGGCTCCCTGCCCTGGGCTGTTTTCATCTAGAGGGACACAAAATCACAGCTGGAAGCCTGGCAACTCCCAGAGAAACACAACAGTCCTGAATCAGTGATTGCACAAGAGGGGCTGGGTCTGGTGGCAGCACGTCGCAGGGTGCTGCTGGAGCAGCAGCCCCATACCCTGCAATGAAGCGGGACTCATTCACCATGGACCAAGCAAGAGCCTTTGCCAAGGCTTAGCCACCCAGAGACACCCAGGAGGAAAGGGGATGTGAACCCAGACTGGCTAGGAAAATGGGGCAGAACACCTCCATACCTCCAATCTCTGGCTGGAGCAGGGGCAAAGCAGGAGCTTCAGGCCTCCTGATCACTGTGAGAGCCTATAAACACTCACAAGCCCAGCCTTGTCCCATGGGTACATGCCATTGGCCTCATCTCTTCCCAGCTATTCTGTCATCCCTTGGAAATGCCGTGCTGTGATACTGTAGCTGCTGCATCAGCATCCCCAGGCGAGATGTGCTGGTTGGAAGCTTGGATGAGACATGGCCAAATCTCCATAACGTCAAGCAGAGACACAGCAGGGACATGAGCACAGGACACAGGTGCTGATGGCCTTGAAGGGTCCTGCAGCAGCTGGGAAACAGGCAGAAAGTTGCTGGCACTACAGCAGTGGTTAATTCCCTCCTTGCCATGCTGCTCTTCAGGGGCTCTGGCCATTCAAGTCCCAACAAGCTAAGGAGAATGGCACCTGCAGTGACATCAGGCTGGAAACATGGAGCATACTCCCATGGTCTGACATGGAGGATCAAAGCTCCCTCTGCTCAGGGATTTCCTAAAGCAGGAACAACTGCCACAGAAACGAATGTTTGATGCAACTGAGCAAGTTACTAACACCCTTGGCTAGGCTGCATTAGTGACGTACCCCAAGCGCTACCGACTAGGATGTGGCCTCAGAGGCAGCTCCTGGACTCATGTTAATCATGACTCTTCATCCCATGCAGAAGCCAAGAGTGTGCAGCCAATCCTCTCAGCCACTGAGTGCAGATGCGCTTTGCATCCACCCTTTCTCCAACAGCAGGGATGCCCCAGACCAGGGATTACATAGCTCCAATCTTTTCCAGCCCACTGTCCCTCCAAGCCCAGCCTGGTGGCGAAGGGTGAGCAGTAGATCTTGGAGGTGTGGGCGTGGGGACTGGGAAAAGCCTTGCCAATACACTGGTGATGGCAAGCCATGGGAGCCTTGAGACAGCTGCAAGGCAACGCTGCCCAGAGAAGGGCTGCACTTTTCCCAAGGTGCCTCCCTGCCCACCACAGCCACTGTCACACTGACCTGGAAGACATCCTTTCTCCAGGCAAATCAGAGATGGGATATAAACAAGCATATCCTTGGATTTTCCAGGCCAAGGAGTTTTGCGGGAAGGGGTGAGCTCTGCTGGACAAGCAGCAGTGAATCAGAGGCAGCTCAGAACATGACACCTCAGAGGAAGAGTTAGTAAGAGACCCCTTATTGCTCCAGCCTTTTGTTGTCTGCTGACTTCACTTCCTCATCTGGCTCAAGTGTGGGGAAAGCCCGATGACAGCATGTAGAGACAAATCATCCTCCTCCGAGCACTCAACTGCACGCAGCCATGTGCCAGAGCCACCACGTGCCAGAGCTCAGCGACTGCACAACAGGAGTCAAAGGAGCAGCACAGAGACCCAGCTGGCCCCACTGCGGAGCTAGAGTAGCCAAAGGAGAGTTGAGGAGGATGGCAGCTGCTGCTATCCCACTGCTCTTCCAGGGGCTGGACATCAGGGGGTCATACACCCCTATGACAACCAAAGTGATGCCTTTCTTAGAAATCAGTGTGCATCCAAGGGCCCATAGCCATGGGCACACTTCTTCAGCGTCTCACCGAGGCAAACAGCGACCAGCACGGTTTGCATAACAACTTCCTAAGTAGCTCAGATTATACTTGTCTCCTGCCTGCTGTGAGCAGATGCTTGCGTGGCACCAGCACAAGAGCACTGGAGCAGGCACAACACTAAGTGGTCATTACAGTTGTCCAAGAGCCTAAATTTGTAACAACTGCCTCCTTTTGGGCACTAGCACGCAACCCCCATGCAAGCTGCATGTTGGGTTTGTGCTTCTCTCTTAAATATATTGCAGTAAATATTCTGGAGGTTGTGTTTATGAATCCAGTCCCAGTTTGCTTTGCTCCAGCTGTAGTGACTTGCATTTCTCTTTCTTTAGAGATAGCTTCCATTTAGCCAGGCTTGCTAAATTTTATTAAACCTCACACCAGCAAGACAACAGTTACTTAACACCACAGAAGCATACTGTCTCCTTTCACTGCCTAGAAGAGGAATTTAAGTCCAGTAGCAGAGCACCCTGAAACAAAGCAGTGTGTAGAACAACGCACAGCCTAGAGTAGCACACAACAAGGAACAAGCCACAGACCTGCAGCAAATGCAGGCACCCTTCACCTCAGGCTTGTAATGTGCCATTTCAAGGCCATCCAGGATAGACCTCAATAGTCAGAAAGTCAGTAAGGCTACAAAAGGACTCCTGGAATATAGTGTCTCCTGCCCAAAGAGCCACAGATCCACTTCCAGAGTCTTTTAAGTACAACATCAGAGTTTTTAAGAACAAGCTAAGTCACTTTACAAAGTTTATAAACAAACAAAATACATCAAGTTTCCATTTCCTAGCCCAGCACCTTCCTTAACTTCCTCTGGTTAAGCTAGAGGAAAGCGCTATTAGCTTTAAATGGTACCCCTTACTTCTGCCATGTCCTGGAAAGGGTCTGAGGACATAAAGCAAAAACTAGGACACTTGCACTATGCCATTCAGCCCCCACCCGTATTTTTAAAAGGTCTTTTCCAGCATCTCTTCCCCAAAATACCCTTTGATTTCCCAATAAACAGACAAAACATTGCAGGTAGTATAAGGAACATTTTGGAGTATTACAGATAACCTTTAAAGCATGGTTAAAGCCATGTTCCTATGTGGACTTCCCTACACTGATGCCATGTCCATGTGAGCAGCATGAGAAGACAGCAGACATCGGGGCCTGGCAGGGACAGGGCTGCAGTCCAATTCAGGTAACTTGTAGTACACACATAGAGATGACCACAGATCTTCTTTCACTCTCCATCTGGGTTCACACACCAAGTGCTGTAGCAATATATGATGTTTACAACCACTTTTAGCAAACGTTAAGGTACATAAAAGCACGTTTTCATTATGCTGCAAAAACAACTTCTTCTTGGTTCTTTGTATGAAGATTTGTAATCCATACGTGAATCAAGTGTCAACGGCCCAAATACTCAAAATGCATCCAAAACAATGCTTCTAATCCTCTCTTCAGCTGGTATTCTCTATCATCTTCTCAAAAATTTTATCAGAACTACAGGCTGAATAGGAGTATTTCTGGAGTGCAAGAGTTGCCTGGTT